AAATATCGTTCAAGAAGAGGATATATCAATTGGAAAATATGGAGAAACAGGATTAATACAAAGTAAAGAAAAATATGCAGAAAGAAAATTTATTGATATTAAAGATTTGAATCCTAATTTAGAAAACCAGACTGTCTGGTTAAGAGGACGTTTGCATACAAGTCGTGCTAAAGGTATATTATTTAAAAATAAAATTGCATTTGATATTTATTATATATTTTTCATATTTCTATATTTATATGTTTTTAATAGGTAAACAATGTTTTATTGTTTTAAGACAACAATCTTATACAATACAAGGTTTAGCAGCAGTTAATAACAAAATTAGCAAACAAATGATTAAGTTTATATCTAAGTAAGTAACACAATTTATTAAATTCATATTTTCTTATATTTCATAATATTATTTTTTAGTATTACTAAAGAATCTATTATGGATATTGAAGCAGTTGTAAAACGTGTCTCTTCTCAAATTGAGTCATGTACTCAAAAAGATGTAGAAATTCATATTGAAAAAGCTTTTGTAATAAGTATTGCGAAACCACAATTACCTTTACAAATTGAAGATGCTTCAAGACCAATAAAAGAAGAAGCTGATGACAATATTTTGAATATAAAAGTAAATCAAGATACCAGATTAGATAATAGAGTTCTGGACCTTAGAACTCCAGCAAATCAAGCTATATATCGGGTGGAAGCAGCTATTTGTAAATTATTTAGAGATATACTTACAAGTAAAGTAAGTTATCAGTAAAATTATAATTGTGATGCAAAAATTTATTTATAAATTTTATTTATAGGGATTTGTTGAAATTCATACACCGAAAATAATATCTGCAGCAAGTGAAGGTGGTGCAAATGTATTTACAGTATCATATTTTAAAGGAAATGCTTATTTAGCACAATCTCCACAACTTTATAAACAAATGGCAATAGCAGCTGATTTTGATAAAGTTTTTACTGTAGGAGCAGGTGATTTTCAATTTCAGAAATGTAATATTTAATTTTCTAAAAACATCTTATTACATATAATTATATAGTTTTTAGAGCTGAAGATTCTAATACACATAGACATTTAACGGAATTTGTTGGTCTTGATTTAGAAATGGCATTTAAATATCATTATCATGAAGTAGTTGAAATTATTGGACAGTTATTTGTAGAAATGTTCAAAGGTCTTCGTAACAAGTTGGTATAAATTATTAATAAATATAAAAGATATCTTTTTTAATATATATAACATTAATTTTATGAAATTTAACTTCAGTTATGCTGCTGAAATCGAGGCTGTACGTCAACAATATAATGTGGAACCATTTAAATTTTTAGATCCACCTTTAAAATTAGAATATAGTGATGCTATTGAATTATTAGCAGAAGCTGGCGTAATTTTGGGTGAAGATGATGATCTTTCTACACCAGATGAAAAATTATTAGGAAAACTTGTTAAAGCAAAAGTGGGTTTTTTTTTGAAAATATTTACAGATATAAATTTATTTTTTACTCTTTTATTTCTTTTATTTAGTATGATACAGATTTTTACATCTTGGATAAGTATCCATTGGCGGTAAGACCGTTTTATACAATGCCAGATCCAAATAATCCTGTAAGTTCATTCAATTTGTCGCAATATTATATTAAATATATATACATTATATGCTTTATTGCAGAAGTTATCAAATTCTTACGATATGTTTATGCGTGGCGAAGAAATTATTTCTGGTGCACAACGTATTCATGATCCTGAACTTCTTATAGAACGTGCAAAATATCATGGAATTGGTAATTATATTTCAGATTTTTATACATTTATAGTTATAGTGAAGTATATATATATTTTTTTAAATTATAGATTTAGAAAAGATAAAATCATATATTGATGCATTCAAATATGGTTGTCCTCCTCATGCTGGTGGTGGAATTGGAATGGAACGTGTTGTTATGTTATATCTTGGTTTAGACAACATAAGAAAAGTTTCAATGTTTCCTCGGGATCCTAAACGTATTACGCCATAGAATTTCAACTTCCAAATAATATATGCAGTAATAATATATTTATTAAATTTTTAATTGTTTTATTGCTAAGAAAAATTAATAAATGGATATTTTGAATGTTTCTAATTATTTATACTCAATTATATATATATATTATAATAAAGAAAATAAACAACCTTGAAATAGTAATTTAATTGCACTAGTTTAGTGTTGACATTTAAAAGTACATGTAATATTTTATCTTTTTCGATATTAAAATAATTCCGTATTAAAATAATAATGAGATTTTAAATTTTTATGAATTGTTAGAATATGAATTATTTCGGATAATAAATGACATTTGATTAATTTTAAAATTTTGTTATATTCTTAGAAATTATTAGAAATTATTATGTACTAGAAATATTTGTATATATATATATGTATTAGATATGTATGTATATATGTATTAGAAATTATTTTCATTTTATGTCATTTTAAGAAAACCGCCTTTTAACATAGATTTTATTCATAGATTTCATTCATAGATGTCGTAACATGTCACGTAGAATGTGAATTATGTCAACGAAATGCTTATAAATACAAACTTAATAAAAAAATCTTTAATTTTAATAATTTTATGTTAAAGAAGACTAAAATAATAATTTATATTTTTAAGAAATTCATTATTGCTGTAATTAATACATTAAAAGGTATCAAGATTTAAAAATGACAACAAGTAAATCATTGATTTTAAGCGGCTTCAAAGAAGATTGTGAACAATTAATTGCTCGTTTTGAGAAGGCAGATGACATTAGATTTCAAACTTTTTGTGAAATTTGGAAAACGATGAGATTTTCACTGGTTTTTACGTAAGTTAAGATAAAGTTTTATTAAATTTAATTAGTTTTTTTTTACTATAATAGATATTTCTAAAATTTAAAAAACTCTAATTATTCAAATAAATGATGAATTTAAAATGTAATATTTTTACATTTTCAGAGGTCGTCCAACTTTTTTAGAATTATTAGAATTCTGTGAAGAAACACTGAATATATGTAAACAATTTCTTCTTTTACCTCCTCGATTTAAAGAACGTATTGGAGGACTATATCTTTTATATGGAATATATTACAAAATGCCAGTAGATCAGTTTAAAATTAGAGTTAAATTAGATGATTGGCAAAATATTATGGAACTTCATGCAGAAATAAAAGAAGCAGAACACTTAGATGCTAATTATATTTTATGTAAATTAATTGTAGATAATGCATTTCACTTTTGTATTTTTGATTCAGAGGTATGTATGATGAAAACCTTTTTATGTAAATAATATATTATATATTATATATATAATATATCATTATATATAAATGAAAATATTATATATAATTTATTATTCCTAGTTTGGATTGGAAAAACAATATCGTGTAAAGAATGCACAATGTTTTAATCCATATTCTGTATTGCCGATATTAAAAGATTTAACTGACAAGCATCAAATGTTATCAAAAATAAATGAAATTAGTAAAGTTTATGAAGAAAATAAACAATTATTAAAATTAAAGAATGACTCAGGTACTAGTTTAAATTTATTCAATTCAAATATAGCTGAAGAAATTATTAATGATATTCAAAAGTTTGAAGAACAGAAGAGAAATCAACAAATAAAAAGTATGTTTGATTCTGAAAAAGCATGTAGTTCTTCTACTTCAAAAGGAACACATAAAAAAACCCAATTGTATGTAAATTTATGTAATTACAATTAATATATTTGTAATATTTTTTATATCATTGTTTTTTTAATTATATTATATATTATTATTTTTAAATTGTATTACATTATATTTTAATATTTTAGAAAAGGAACTTCCAAACGTAAAATGCGACCATTAATTGATTATGATTTTCAAATAGAATCAAATGAATCTGATGAAGATGAAGTATTTGAACTTGATGATTATGATTCTAATTCATCTGAAGATTTTGATTAACAACAAAAATAAAAATATACTATCCGTAAGTGTATTATAATAATATAAATTTTATAATAGAATAAATTATATATGTAAATCTATAATAAGAAAATAATATTTCTTAAATTGTCTTTTATTGAAAATTGTACAAAATAAGTATAAGGAACAAGTGAGTGGAAATATTAATCATTTTAAATTTAAAGAAAACTTTTTTAGAATACATTGTACTCTATCTTATTGTAGCTATGTTTTTCACATGCTTTAAGTGAAGACAATTCAATTAAATGACTAAACATCTTTAAAATGGAATTAAATTTCTAAACTTAAAAACTGAGTAAAATGTATTATAGATTTCGTGAATAAGTTACTTTATCAGAGACTAATTTTCAAAGATGTAACTTTTCATTTTCATGTAGCTTTATGTATATTTACGGCATTAAAATTAAATCTATATACTGAATAAGTCTTATTATTGCCGCCAATAAACATTTATAAAGCTTACGGTAACAAGTTCATGTTAAATTTTCTTAATAAACTTTCAGTTGATTGTTATCGTCGAATCCAGCACTATGACCCGCGTTTCGTACAATAAAACTAGTTCCGTCATAATGCATGCGTCGTTCACCGCGTCGCACAAAAAGATGAGATGTTTGACCAAGAGATGCAGTACAATGTAAAAATGGAGTCGTTAACGAAGCTGTACCATTACTAGGTGATGTTCGTAATTGATATTTGTTACTATTTCGAGCAATCCTAATAGAGAAATAATTCATATTCTTATTGATCAATATAATTAAATATTTTTTATATTTATTCTTATGAATAAAATTACCTGACAAGACCATCAGGTGTTTGCGAAACTCTAACATTATTAATGATCCAATTTTCTACACCTTCATTAGTTAACCAATATTGAGCGGCACCTAAAGCTGCCGTAGCTTCTTGCAAACATGCTGGACCGTGCCGAGATCGAGAGTAAAAAACACTAAGAGAAAAGTCCTAAAAGTTAAAGAGTAAAATAATATTTTAGTATAATTATTTTTGATTTATAAAAAATGTTTTATTTTTTATACCTGACTCATATCTGAAAATGAATCCGTAGTTGTTCTTGTTCCCGCCGTATCAACTAAATAAACTAGAGCACATTGTTCTGAAGTAAAGCTCACCCCTTTATACCACATCTTTGCGTATCTGATGAAGGATAATATTACTTGTTAATGATACTTTAATGATGATACAGATACCACTGACTTGTTATTGCCGTGGGCATCATGGGCCAGGATTTCAACTCGTGATCCATATTGATATATTCTTCCATTTGGATGGAGTAATGCTGCAGCTGCTCCAGAACCACTCAACGATAGTACAATGTTATTCTACGCTGACGATAAATGCAATTCAGATAATAATCATGTAAGTATTAGAAATTATTTACCATTTGTATTATTGTATTATGTGAATTCATGTATTATGCAGTTTTTACAAAGACATTTTAATCATGGTATTAAAATTTATTTGAGACAGGAATCTTGTCATAAAATAGAAGAAAAAGAAGATACCTTAAAATTAATTACTCTAACTGCTCGATCGATCGTCATATCAACCCGAATTCTGTTGTGAAGTCTCAATGAAATTGTACCATGTGGTGTAGTTACAATAGCGGCATCAGTATCGTGCTCTCTCCAGTTTTCTGCGTAGATACATGTTTCTTCATAGTATGGTGCAATAGTTTTAGAATTTCGTGGTTGTCGCCACAATGCTGTTGAATTAGAAAATGCTGTTGCACCGGCTAATCCACCCCATTGTTCCGATGGCGGTGCTTCAAAGTATTTGGGAAATTCACTGTATCGCTAAAGGAAAGAATGAATTACTTTCAACTATGACAAGTGATAATTGTACTAATTAGGTAAAGTACCTGGAATTAGTTTCATCTGTTTGTGCGTGATAACTGTGCGCTGTATAAAGAGATCTCGGTCGCATCGGTGCTGTTGAGGTATTTTGACTTTGAATTGCTGGTATGGAACATGGTTGTTGATTTACAGCTTGTGTTCCTGTTTGGACATTACATTTTTGGATCTCCTTCCGATATTCGCCGCAAGGAGTTGTCATTGCTTTTGCCTTTAATTAATATTATATGATAAAAATAATTAAAAAATTTTTATTAATTAATTAATAATAAAAAAGAAAGAGATTCTTCAATTTCATTAATTTTGAAAATGATTTCCAATTTTAAAAATAATTTTTTTATATTTTTTAGAAAGAGAAATGAAACTTAATGAAAAAAAATAATTAAAATCAAAAATTAAAAAATGATCTTAGAATAAAAAAAACCTTGGAATTGGCTGTAGCGTTTTTTGTCTTCTTGCGACGCGATTTCCGGGGTTTCGACACCGCCGTTTGACTACCCTCGTTTATGCGATCCACGGCTGAAGCGGTTTTCGTATCTGCAGGTCCAGGTCCTTTTTATGAAATCACGTCTTCGACGTTTCTGATATCTTTTGACTTCACTAAGATGCTTACATATGTAACTTTAATCTTAGATGTTCTTATACAGCGATTAAGAAATTTCGGATCGCGATGAGGGAAATCAATCCTTGTAGATACCTATAAAAACTTGTTCAAAGGATAACACGGTTGAAAGATATTTTGGTAAAACAAATGAATATTTTGGTTGATTATATCGTTGCCTTGACAATAAAAAATGACAAGAGATTCATAATAGAAAAATTTCGATAAAATGAGTATAGGCAAGTTTTTTGAAGTTCGAATGGAATGATTTATCTAACATTTATCATATCTTTGTATTAATGTATTTTTTGTTTTACATATATGTCAATATAATAGTATATTGTAATAAAAAAATTATAGAATTAAAATTTTTCGATCGGCACTTATTTTGAAATGAACAATTCATTTTAACACAAATTTTTTTTTCTTTTATTCTTTAAAGAATTAATTTGATTAATGTTTATAATATTTTATATTTTTCGTTTTTTCTTTTTTTTTATAGATCTTAATAGTTTGAAAAATTATTTTATAAATTATATTATTTAATAAAACTCTAATAATAGAAAATAGTTAGAAGGTGAAGGTGATGTTAAGAAGTTAAGAATTATATAAGCGTTATACATTATTATGCATTATCATTGCATATTAATATCATTACTCGTATTTTTTTCTGTATGTTTTCTAGTAATTCCTCTTTTATATATAGTTGTTTTTCACATTATACGATGTAAAATATTTTTTTTGTTATACGCAATAGTGTTTAAATGTTATCATAATGCCACTCTTACATTTTATTAAAAAACAGATCAGCATCGATTCAGAATATTTAATTTATTCTTTTATATATATATATTAACATTTTAATATATTATCTAATTAGAACGAATTCAAAGGTTTTGAAAATTATTCTTTTTATTAAAAATAAAAATCGATGTAATTTTATGATAGATTTGTAATATTCTATTGTAAATTTTAAATCTATTTTAATTTCTTAATATTTATTTTTAAAAATGGAATTCCAATAAAAAATATAAAGTAATAAATATTTGATAATAAATTTGATATACTAATACGACAATAGAAATTATGCAAGTCAATGTCATGCTCATTGCATAACAACTTAATCATTGCTTTCTTTATACTTCTTCCTAAAGAATAAAAATTTAAACAAGATTAAAAATTAAATTGTTAACTTTATTATATTTTTAAAGATTTTTTTAAATATATTACTAATTTATATTTTATTTTTTAGGTCCTATATGAAGTACAAAATACATAAAATACGAAAAATACATATGAATTATATTTCTCCTATATTATATGTATAATATAATTAATATATGAAACAAATTTTGAATATACAAAATAGAAATTTTGAATATATAACATAGATTTTCTACAAACAACATTCTTGTATAATACTGATCTTTATATGGTGGGGACATAGGAATTATCTGCTGACACTCCTTAAAGCCCCAGTATGTGTTTGTTCTGTTCGCGTATAATAACTCGCAGAAGTTCAATTGAATTTAGAAACTTCGGGAAAAATTTATTTAACGATTTTTAATTAATAATGATTATTTTTAAAATTATATTTTTTATGAATTTTATCTATTTAACTTTAGGTAATTATTATTATTACTATTGTTGTTATTTTATAATTGTACGAATTGTATATATATTTAATTAGTAAGTTTTTAAATATCATATATTAAATTTTAAACAAATATATTTGTTTTTTAAAATGACAAAAAGTGAGATATAAATACAGATATAAATATAGATAAATATATAGGTATATATATATATTGGATATAGATAAATATAGATATAAATATAGATTGCAACATTTATGTATATTCTATTTCTGTAACTATCTTTAATACTCAAGTATTTAGTTTCAGAATACTTGAAACTATAATTTAAAGTACCTTGTTCTTATCTTTTAGAATTGCTTATGCTAATTGAAAACGTTAAGACAAGTAAACATAATAAAGAAAATGATAGCCTCCGACTAGTGACAGTGGTAAATATAAAAAAAACTTAAATTAAAAAAATTTAAGAACATTTAAAAAATAATTTTTATATAAAAAATAAATATTTTTTCTCTTTGGAATATAAAATTTATACATTATTATACAAATTTATATGTGCATATTTGAATCAAATGTATTTACTGTTGAATTAATGTTATTATATGATCAATGATATAAAATATATGAATTTCTAATCATGATAATAAACTTTTAGATAATGAGACATGGAGAGAGAGCACCTCAGGATACTTATCCAAATGATCCTTATCTCAATAATTCTATGGAACCTTATGGTTGGGGACAATTAACAAATGTAATATTTTTACAATTTCTATTACTATATCAACATTTTTATTATCAACATAAGTAATCCTATGTAGGAAGGAAGAAGAAATCAATACAATCAAGGTCTTTTTCTACGAAAAAAATATAATAATTTTTTGGGTCTAACATATAGTCCTGATATATTTTATTTGCAATCTACAGCAGTTGATCGTACAAAAATGTCTGCTATGTTAGAAGCAGCAGCTTTATGGAAACCAACTGAAAAACAATCTTTTAAACGTGATTTAGCTTGGCAACCAGTTACTTTATTTTATCAACCACGTTCGGAAGATACAGTACATATTTTATTTTATTTTATGCAATATTAACCTTATGTTTATTGTTATTAAATTAATATTTAAATTGTTTATATGTTATATATATTAGTTAATGCTGATATGGGATACATGTCCAAAATATGCCAAATTACGACACGCAATTATGAATTTACCAGAAATTCAACAAATTCAAAACGAGAATAAACAATTTTACAAAGAATTAACGAATTTAACAGGTATGGTGATTTCAACTCCAAATGATGTCAACTCGCTTTATGGAACATTAACAGCAGAGGTTTGCAGAAAAAATTGATACGTTATTTTATATGTAACGTAACTTAAAAAAATTTTATTAATATTGTAAATTAATTACTTTAGAAACATATGAATTTAATTCTTCCCAAGTGGACTAAAAATTATTATCCTGATAAACTGATACCGCTTACATTATATGATTTTCAATTAAATGTATATAATGATCTTCTTAAGAGACTTAAAGGAGGACCATTTCTTAAAAAAATTATTACCGATATGTTAGCGAAAAAAAATAATACTTTAAAACCCGAAGTAAGGAAAATGTTCATGTATATTGGTCATGATAGTACTATTGTAACTTTAATGAATGTCATGCATGTATGGAATAATCAAATGCCAAATTATAATATCATGATAATGATTGAATTGCATGAAAACAATGATGAATGGAATGTTCAGGTAAAGCAATAATATAAAATAATATAAAAAAACTTGATAAAATATAATATAGAAGTCATTTTTATAATTTTTACATTCTATTTTTTTTTTTTTTAGATATTTTTAAGAAATACTACTGAATATGAACCATATCCTCTGACCATTCCTGGATGTACAACAATATGTCCTCTCGAAAAATTTATAGAGATTTTAAATCCAATGATCCCAGATAATTGGAATGAAGAATGTAAAGTTGATGGAGAATATAAACCACCACCGGCACCACTTCCTTAATTATGATTATTTGGCAAAAATGCAAAATGATCATGAGAAATATAGTAAAAAAAAAGTATTATAATAAATAACTTCATTTAAAAAGATGAATTGAAAATGAATATTCTCGAAAAGAATTATTAAAATGATAATTTTTATATTTTAAATCTAAAATATATTTATAATTTTTTAATTTAAACTAATTTTTAATGTTAATTAAAAACTTCTTTTCATAAAATGTATTTATTTACATCTTTATTTACTTTTTTATTATATCCATATTTTATTTATATTCTATTTGCTATAAAAAAATATGTACTTGTATATAAGAAACATATGCATATGTCGATAGTAAGCAATCGCTTATAATTAGATTTTTTCTTCCTAGGCAAATATTTTTTCTTCTCGACGTTTTTTTGTAACTACTGTACCAGGTTTATGTTGAGCATCTGGATGATTTAATAATTCAGGTGGACAAGTAGATATAGGACTTGCAAGAATAGTTTGTTTCAGATCATAGAATAGATGACTATCATCTTTTGTACAAAATGAAATAGCAAGACCAGCTTTTCCTGCGCGACCAGTTCTACCAATACGATGTGTGTAATCTAGAAACAAAAAAATAATATATATTTCTTGATATAATTATATATTCCTGTTTTTACAATTTCATTTTTTTTAATAATATATATTTACCTTCTATAGTTTTAGCCATATCATAATTAATGACCATAGATACATCTTTAATATCGATACCACGACCTGCTACATCAGTGGCAACCAAAATATCTTTACTACCACTTTTCAGCGAAGCAAGTGCATATTCTCTCTGCTCTTGACCTTTACCACCATGAAGGGTACAAGCATTATACTGATAAAAGAATTAAATATTATATCAAAGTTTAAGTTTACATTAAATATAAAATATAATTTTATTTGATTTAGAGAAAAAAAGAAAAAAAGTATAATATAAAATAATTAAAATTCAAACTTACACCCAATTTCTCTAAACCTCTTGCAAGGACATCAGCTCCCTTCTTCTGATTAACGAATATGATAACTGGTGGTTCAACTCCTCTACTAAGTATTTCCATCAATTTCTTACGTTTATCAGCTTCACCCATTATATGTACTATTTGTTCTGTTCTTTCTGTTGGTTTTCCTACACTACCGATATAGACAACGGCAGGTCGTCTTAAATAAGTTCTGGCTAATCTTTCAACTGCAGGTGGCATAGTTGCTGTAAACATCACAGTCTAAAAAATTACAATAAATATTCATTATGTGTATTTAAATTTAGATAAAATATAGTATCAATTATTTTTTACTTGTCTATATTTTTTCTTTGTATTGTAATTAGCTAAAAGTTTTTCTTCATTTTCGGCGTCTTCATTGTCTGGCTTTAAATTTGTAACTGGCATATATTCCAAAATTTTTTGAACATCTGAAAATTTGTATAATAATTAATAATTATTTATATGTACAAATTAATATATTAAAGATATACCTGGTTCAAAACCCATATCTATCATTCTATCAGCTTCATCTAATACAATATAAGTACATTGATTTAAAACCAAATATCGGTTTTCTAATACATCAATTAATCGTCCTGGCGTGGCTATAACTATCTATAAAGATAAGAATTATTTTAAAATGCATCAAATTGCAAGTCCTTTTTTATCAATAAATGATTATAAAATTTATACCTCACAACCCATTCTCAATCTAAATCCTTGTTCTTCTCTCGAAAGACCACCTACAACAACAACTGTTCTTATACCTAATGGTTGTCCAAATTTATTAGTTTCTTCTTCAATTTGTTGAGCCAACTCACTAAAAAATATATTACTTTTTTATAGAAAAATAAAATAAAGATTAAAAATATAGATAATAAACATACCGAGTTGGTGCTAAAATTATACTATAAGGACCTTGATCTGCTTCTTCTAATCTTTCAATTTTTGGTAAACTAGTGATCCATAGTAATAATGGAATTAAAAATGCTAAAGTTTTGCCAGATCCAGTTTCAGCAACTCCAATAATATCACGATTTTGAAGTCCGATGGGAATAGCTTGTCTCTGAATAGGTGTTAAATCTTTATATCCCACTTTATCAATGATATCAAGAATTTCTTTTGGAAATCCTGACTCTTTCCATGATCTAATTGGATCAGGAATACGTCCTCCTTTTATTGTAATATTATAATCTTCTCTAAATATACGCCAATCTCTTTCTGTCATTTCATGAAGAGCTTTTTCAGACCAATGTCTATCATCCCATTTTTGTTTTTCTTCTTTTCTTTTTACTTTTTTTAATCGCATTCTAACAAATAAATATAAATAAGATATATTATGAGTATTATGAAAAATAAGTTTAAATTTCAAAAAAGATATATACTTCTCCTGTTCTTTTTCAGCTTCTGTTCTTCTTTTTTCTAATAGTTCTCCATAAAATTTACTTTGGTCTCGTTTTTGTGCTTTAATATCTATTCCAGCAAGATTTCCTCTACCGAAAAATTGAACCTGATGTCTTTCCTTATAAATACTATTGTAATCAACAGATGTATCTTCTGATGTATCCCAATCAAATACAAATTTTCTATCATTTAATCTTCTAACACGTCGTTTTTTTTTCACTAGTCCTAAATAACGTTCTTTAATAGCTTCTACTTCTTTTTCTTTATCTTTATCTTTAATTTCATCCTCTCGTGTACGTTGACCATCTCTACGTCTGCATTACAAAATATTTTAAAATAAATTTTATTTAATAAATTCAATTTATATAGATAAATATTATATACCTATCTCTATCATCCCATTCTCTATCTTTCCCAGCATTTTCACTATGAAAAGATTTACGTATATCCTCTTGTTGCTTTTTTATAGCTTCAACTTCCTCTTGACGTTTCTGTAATGCTAAAGCAGCACGTTCTTCTTTAGTTAAAAATTTTGGTTTAGCACGTGCTTCTTCTTCTGCTTTTTTCTTAGCTAATAATTCTTCCAAACTTAGCGGTTCCTTTTTTGGAGGAGGCTTTGGCTTTTCCTCAATTTCCTCCTCTTCTTTTTTTGTTTCAGTTTTAGTTTCTTTTTTATTTTCATCTTCTAAGACAAATATAGGACTCGGTTTACGTTTTTTTTCATCTTTTGATTTGTCTTTAAATTCTCGTCTTTCCCTTGATCTATCTCTATCTTTTTCGCGTGATCTATCTCTTTCTCGTGATCTTTCACGCGATCTTGAACGTTTTCTATCTTTTTTTCGATCTTTTGATCTACTTCTTGAACGCCTTCTATCTCGTCGTTCTCGATCTCTTTCACGTTCCCGATCACGTTCACGATCTCGTTCACGCGATCGACTACGTTTTATATTTTTTTTATCATGAGCCATTGAATTTTCTGTAAATTAATTTATTCAATTGTTTATGATCAATATAAGAGGTTATAGAATCGTAAATTTTAAAATATTTGCTACATATATATAGGTATATATTTATAAATAATAAAATAAATATTATGTATCATTGTACTAATAATTATTTTCTATAATAACATTTCTTATAAATACTAATATGTAATATATGCATAATATTTTGATTAAATGTTGTCAACAGTTATATATAAAATACATGATATAATTAAGCCGAATAGAATTGTTCAAATTGTTTTAAAAAATTACAAAATACAAATAAATATAACAATTTCGTCTTACTGAATAGAATTTAATAACTTCTTTAATAAATCAAAAAAATTAATACTAAATCACTCTTAACAATAGTTTACAATACAGAATTAAGACATGATTATGGTTATCTTTTCAATGCAAGCGATATAATTTTAATTTAGTCATTTAATAACATAATAATTTTTTTAAATTCTAATTTAATTTAATATAAATTATTTTAGATATAATAAATATAAAATAATAAAAATTATTTTATTAATTTATTTTATTGATTATTATAATCATATAATCTATCTTAAATTATTTGAAGTTATAAAACATTCAAAAAAATAAATACAAATAAAATATTTATCTTTTAAATTTTCAAAAATTCCTTCTATGATAATAATTATTTATAGAGTTTATATATTTTATTAAAAAAAGGAGTTATTAAAGAAAATCTATATAATATGGTAATAATATTAATAAAATTGTGAAATTTATTTAAGATATTTTCACTTTTTAACAATTTTAATATAAATTAAAGATTTACTTTCAAATAATTTTTATTTTTATATAAAATTATGAAAAATTTATTCTACAATAAAATTTATTGAATTTTTACCGCTCAATCGCGAATAAAATGCTTTGTAATCATTGGAGGGTAGCATGTAAAATTTGAACCAATGGAATTGAAGCATCGATGAGCTACGGGGAGGCTCAATAAAGGGCGCTAGTGTCCGTCAAGTGTCACAGCCGTTGCCTGTCTCCTCAGTATTGTAACTTAAATCGGTGATTTAATTAGGAATAACGTATTTTTTTCTAGAATTTGTGAAACATTAAGCAATAATGACCGACAAGAAAGGTAACTATACATCGTAATCGCGTAATACAACTAGCAATATGTGTTATACACGTTAAGAATATCTCGTGTTTTCAAGTCGAGAATACCACTTGTCACTCGTACGACGGCGAATTTTTTTATGTTAGCAATGCTATCCAACACCTGTGAAGAATGGTGCACGTTTAAATTCTATCAAAATTCGTATCATTATTACATAAACAAAGTCTAATCTTAATGCGATGAGAAAAATGTGAATTTCTGTTCAGTGACAGATAAATCAATACCGTATTGTGTGTGGGAAATACAAAATGGCTTCCAGAGTTCGTCTTGAATAATTTTCACGGTGACTCTTTATTAAAAGTTGTATGCTATTCAAAATATCATATTTTTATACAATTAATATTAATCTCGTATTATATATAACTTTATTTCATTTTTATATTTAACCAATTATTGTATATGTTTAAGAAAATATTTTGTATATACATATATATGAATAATGATATATACTTTACGTGTTTAAAAAAAATTTATTTACTTATAATAATTTGTTATTATTGCATCTTATCATGCATTTCTGGTTGAAAGAAAAAATTTAAAATTCTATTATATTTTGAATATCAAAATAATTATATTTTATATTTGATAGAAAATGTTAAGTTTTCTATCAGAAATATGTTTTAATATTAAAACTTTGAAAGTATTAGTAATATTATTAGTAATATTAATAATA